GACACTTGCCTGAGCAATCAAGGTGGTTTACAAATATAAGATACAAATTAAAAACATATATTACAACAATAACAGTAATACAATAACCCCCCCAAGACTAAATACAATATTTTTCAGGCTAGACCCGATGGAGTTGGCCAGCCTTCTCTCCTTCCAGCTGATGGTGGATGGAGGGAGGCCTTCTTCTTTTCAGGCTAGGACCAATGGAGCCGACCTGCCTTCTCTCCCTCCAGATGATGGTGGATGGAGGGAGGGCCGCCTTCTTTTCAGGGAGTGGGATTTAAAGTCTGCACTTCTCCCCCAGCTGCAGGTGATGTAGTTGCTGCTGCTGTGCTGCAGTTGGGCCCCTACACTTTAATGCCCTTTGCGCTCCTCCTCCGCCACACAGCAGGCCCTGATGTTACAGGAAGGGGAGGAATTCCACAGTCTGTAGTCCTCCGAGGACGCTGAAGGTGATGTTGTTGCAGCTGCTGTTAAGTGCTGCTCTCTAGGAATGTTCAGACCTCAGCTTCTCTTGCCCCCTTCTGTCTCTTCTTCCTGCTGGGTTTTAAAGCAGGGCAGAAGTGGTGGGATAGCAGTTGGTAAGTGCTGGTCTCTAGGAACTTTCACTTTGCTACCTTTGTCTTGCAACAGGACTAGAATCCATGACCTTGGCTCTCACTAGCCAGCCATTCACATTTATAGGTAAATGTTATAGTAAAGTGATTTATTCCTTAAAATTAAATCAAAAGCATGTTCCATTCCTAGGCTTATCAGTCCCACATAGCAAAGCAAAAACAAAGTGGGTTTGTGTCCTAGTGTTCTAGTGTTGGCTGATACCATACAAACAAAGGAGATTAGTGTACAAGCTGTAACTGGACCATATCCCTAATAGTGTTAGGGAAGGTTCAAATTTAAACTTCTCCAGGAAGCTAATTACTCAGTATAGAGGGTCTTGTGCAAAAATATGTGTGCTAAGGAGAGATCTGGGTTGATTTTCAAACATGTCTCTTTTAAAACAAAGGAACAAAAGTACCATAGCTTATCTTATGTAGTCCTTAGATGGAAGAGCTGCCTCGAGTTCCATTTTTAGGAGAAGGGTACATTATAAATCTAATAAGGCATTGCATTGTCAGTCAGGAACATGAAGACTAGGCTGTGAATCAAGTGCTGAAGAAATGCTAAAGACTTGGTATTCTGGGAGTCTTGGATCAATCTCCTCAGATAGAATAATAGCAGCTCTTTATTGTAAGCTGAAAAATAATTAGAAGTAAGTCAATTGCAGGAGGAAGAGCCTTTCTGAACTCTATGAGTACCTGTCTTGTAATGCAGAATTTAGAAAAATTAGATTGATGATTTACAGCATTATTGTGAATTTTCTTTTTGCTGAACTAGTATGAAATTGAGAGTCACTATGGTGTAGTGGTTTGAGCATTGGACTATGGCTGCAGAGCAGGGTTCGAATCCTGTTGGGTGACCTTGGGCAAGTTACATTCTCTCACCCTCAGAGAATGGCCATAGCAAACCTACACTGAAAAAACTTGCTAATAAAACTTCATGATAGAGTTGCCATAAGTTGGAAACAACTTAAACGCACACAACAACAAAGTATGAAATCACTAGGAGTGCCAGTATTGCCTGTTTCAAGTCACAGATGAACAAATATTTCAGATATCCAGGGACCAACATAACATGTAGAGGTGGTGGGTATTTTTCCAGCTGCCATCTTCTCATTGGTCAATAGATAGGGAGTATCTAGACCAGGGGTAGGCAACCTTTTTGAGACAATTGGGGGGGCCCAAAGCACCAAAAATAAATAAATATAAAAATATATATATTTTAAAAAAAATTTAAAAAATAAAAAAATATGCATGCACACTCTCTCAGCCCCAGAAAAGCCATGGCAAAACCCCTGTGTAGATTTTGCCAAGAAAACCCCAAGAACAAGTAATAACAACAATAATCAATATCATCATGGCAGGCGGCGGTGGGGGGGCAGCGGCAGGACCAGCCTGGGGCCGATCTAAATGCCTTGGGGGGCCGCATCTAGCCCCCAGGCCTTAGGTTGCCTACCCCTGATCTAGACAAATCATGATTTCTCTAGGGCTCTTCTTCCCTCTTCCATCTTGGTATATGTCCTCTTTGGTACAGTCTGCTTTGAAATGTCTAAAGCTAGAAGCTGCAAGGATAGCTTCAGCTTTATATTTATAATGATTAGAGCAGGAAAATGGTGGTATGTTTGAACCTGTGGTGATTGTGGGAACAAAGAACATTAATGGCCATGTTATGAGTTGGATTGGAGTCCAAAGCTGGTGGCAGAAGAGGGAAGCCACCAAATGATGAAAACAAATTTTGGTGAATTTCTGGTACTACTATTCATGGTAATATTTATCTCTTCTCACTCTACCATGACTTAATTTTTTTTATTAAACATTGATTAAAAACAGAAGGATAAAAAGACATTAGATGCAATATACAGAAGAATTCTACAATGGAGATGACAAAATGAAAGACATGTGGAATGAAGAGCCATATGAAGATGAACCCCAAATTCTAAAAAGTGAGGTGGGAACGCAATAAGGGAAATAGCAAAAAACAAATCACCATGAGCAGATGATATTCCAATTGAACTGCTGCAGTCCACAATGACAGAGTCAATTCTAGTGCTAACTAACATATGTCAACAGATATGGAAAACAAAGTGATGGCCAACAGATTGGAAGTTATCATTATACATCCTCATCCACAAAAAGGGGGAGACAAGAGATTGCAGCAACTATAGAACCATAACACTGATCTCCCATGCAAGCAAAATCATGCTCAAAATTCTGCAACATAGACTAACCACACAAAGAGAGAAATCCCAGAAGTCCAAAGTTCAGGAAAGAAAGAGGCACGAGGGACCACATTACAAATATATGAACACACTCCCTCAGGGTGTGGTGGAGTCTCCTTCCTTGGAGGTCTT